GCAGTTCTACTGAAGAAGGAGATGACCCCCCACCCAAATCCCAACGGGAGTAGTCATCATTAGATTCCCCACCCTCTCTTGGAACTTGGGGTCCGAGTTCAGAGAAATCGTTGCCATTCTGTATCCAAGAAGTCGGGTCGAAACGGTACCCGACTTCTTCACACAAGTTGAAGTGGTTACACCAACTTCAATGTAACTGACAGAGGTTTTTGGGTAAATAAATAGACCTTTACGATGGGGTAGAGAACCATTCCCGTTCCACGATCGTTTGGAACCTATCCGACATATGGACGATGATGTTGACCCCCGAAACGGTTTAGGATCGACATTCGCTGGAGATGCTTACGACTAGCATGGAAGCTCCTCTTTAAATGCTATTTGTCCGTAATGCTAGCAGTGGGCGGTTTTGACACTTTTCTTTTGAACATTCGTGGAACGTCTGATAAATCTTCGCTGAAAGAAGGTGCTCGCAGCTGAGATGGGATGAAATCAAACTTTCTCCGTTACATAACAACACGAGAAACGACTCTCCCCACGACATGAAGAAACGAGCAAACGACCCCCGAAAAGAGTCATTCCCGGCTTGTGGGCGTAAATGCCATTCGTTTGAGAAGAGCGAGAAGATTCATCGACCTTTTCATCACTTTTTCATAAAATCTATTTTCATCTCTTTTCGTACGAATCGCAACTATGAGTTCACTCGTCATGCCCAAGTTTCGTCTTGGCAGAAGCCACACCACTCATTCCAAAGATGGCACTGATACGTCTTTTACATCAGCATCGGGCGGATCTGATGAGATGCACCTTGCTACCAAGCACGCCGAGGCTATCTGCCTCAGAGATATCAAAGACTGCTTTCGCAAGTTTGGCATCCGCCTTCCAGACGAAACCGTCTTTCGATATGCCAGCTTTTACAACTTCGATGCCGAACTAGCCATCGATGGCATCCATGAGGATAACGGAAACCCGTATCTGAAACTCAAGATGGAAGACTTGGAAGAACAGTTTGAATCCAACGCTGTATTCCCTCTCCCCAAGCTACGAACTCGCAAGAATGACTCGGAGATCATCTACATGAAACCCGCTCGATTCAATGCTAACGAAGGAGACAGTGAGAAACTCATTGAAAGTCTTTGCTATGTTCTCAACGACTTGAGCCAAACTGTGGAACAATGTAGGAACGGAGTCACAGTGATTGCGGATATGCAAGATGTCACAAAAGAGAACTTTAGCAAGGATCACTGCGCGAAACTGATGCAAGCGCTTCAAGGTACTATGGTCCCAACTCGTGTGGAGGCTTTTATTATCGTCTCACCGCCATCGTGGTTCAGCAAAGTCTTCAAATGGATGAAATCTAAGGTGTCGAAAGACTTTTTGAAAAGGGTTCATCTCACCCAACAAGATCAACTGCCCCATTTCCTGATGGATGATTACGAAATGTATTTGCCCGATGATTTATGTCAAGGACGAGCCGTTGCGTCCGAGATCTGCGAGGATTATATGGACCTCAAGGTTATCGAAGAGACAAAACAACGATAACAAACAAACAGGGCGATTACTACTAGCAGATATTCAACAATCTGAAAAGGGGATAAGGGACGATTGGGAACACTAAAACACACAGTATGTTAAAATTATAAACTAGAACATGTACAGCATCAACAGCATTACAATATAATTGATTAGACTTGCTATTATCTACCTACTCTTCTTCCAGCGAAACATCGATTGCTTTGTGGAGTCATGAGTGCGTCATGAGCCGTTGAAGTTCGTGATGTCAGGAAATGACAATTATTCATCATCGGACCAGCACGAAGCTTGAACTCTACCGGTACAGCAATTTCCCATCTGCTTGTAGACGTGGTTTGGGTCCATGTTTTCGGTGATGTCTCCACGGTCCTTGATAAGTTTCTTGAGCTCTTTTTTCGCATCGCTGGTGCTGACTGCAATACGGTACAGTACCGGTAAGCTTGGTACTAAACTTAAATATTCCAAAGAGGATATGCACTTCTGCTGTATCCTTACAAAAAGGAAGAAGGTTCGCTGCAGCATTGATGCGGAATGTATTGTTGTACTGTTAATCGTTTGGACAGGATACGTCATAGTGAGGCAGAATAACAAGAATTTGTAGATCAAGCACAATCCATAACATCTTTTTCAGCAATGTCTGCACCATCGCTGATCTTCTCAAATGTCTGAACGTCCGGAATAGTCACTTGGAGTTACAACATCTACTCGATTATGACTGCTGCCAATATCCAAGTGATCAGAAGGTTCTGTGTTGTGAATGCTTCCATTCCCCCCACGAGTACCGGTTAGAAGAATATGAGAAGGATGCAAATGAGAACGAGAAATTGCACAGCGTAGCAAGTCTCGCTTTAAAATGTGCCATAAGTAGTATTACATGGGCAAGACTTGCGATGATACATTTCCTGTGAGTAATGTACCTGTACATGAATGGTCTTCTCAAATGTCTCACTGTCGCTTAGATTTATAAAAGAGATATTACTAGTATAGAATAATAGTCTTGGGTAATGGTTCCAAAGCTGCCAATGACATGTGTATCGCTTTGTGGGATTCCGGTGACTGCTTCTATTTCCTGCTGACTGCCAAGGGTTCTCTTTCCGTGCGTCAGGAAAGTGAAATTCAACTAATTTCATGTCCGGGCGAAGTCATACGCGAACATAGTGACCAAATGTCCCATGAGCAATATTGGGACATTCGGAAAACTCACGATCGATTTGGATTTCCCATAAGTATTTTTAGCCGTACTTCGCCTCTCACAGATTCTTGACAGTTCTGACGGTCACAATAATGAGGCATTGCAAAAAACAAAAACATTCTTTACCTTACCGGTATTCATAAAATCCCACTAGACCCAAAACTATGCTGAAACTAACATTGAAAACCAGGAGGAGTGGCCATCATGCTTCCGAGGCGTCGTCTATCGATACTTCTTTCGCGAGTTCCGATGACTTGATGCTTGCAAGGCCGGAGAGCTTCAACGTGAAGAACCACTTTAGTCCAAAGGAACTGGAATGTATTGAACAGCTAAGCGCCGCCTGCTTTAGTGAAAATCGACATGTTTCAAACGAATTGATTATTCGTTACGCTGTGTACCACAACTTTAACTATGGCAAGGCCAAGGACGCCATCGACAAGGGATACACCTACAGCTACCTGTACCTGGAATTGGAAGGCGAACTGTTGCGATACGTTATGAATTCCATGGTATGTTTCCCTCTCTCAGGACTGAAGAGTCGAAAGACAGGATCAGAAGTCTTCTATTTCCACCCATCCCGATACATACCGACATCCAGAAACAATCACCTCCTGCTGGACAACATGTGCTATGTATTGAATGATATGAGCAGGACTATCGATCAATGCCGAAACGGGGTTGTGATGATAGTGAATATGGAAGGCTACTCCATGAAGAACTTTCATAACGATACTCAGATGAAGATGACCCGAATCACAGAAGGTCACGTGGTCCCCACTCGTATTGTCGATATTCTCATTGTTAATCCCCCCAAGGTGAGTCAGTCAGTCATTTGCCACCACACCTATTGAATTCTCCACCCTTTCTCACCGCTACTGCTTTTTGCAATTCTTGTAATCAAAAGTTTTTCAAACGACTTTGGAAGGTGGTCAAGCCTGCGTTCTCCAAGACCTACAAGAAGCGAATCCACATTATCAGCAATGACAAGCTTGGAAACTATCTGATGGATGGCTTCGAAGAATATCTTCCGGACGAATTCATGGGATGGAGGAGTACCCAAGAGATGGCGATTGATTACTGCGATTTGAAGCAATACGAGGAGCGGCAACAGAGCCCCTTGTCATCCTCATCATCATAGCTGCCTGGCTTGGGGAGAGGAAGCAAGCAAGCAGCTCTTGGTCTTGGTTGCTGGTTGGGCCAAAGAAGATGGATTCAGGCCAGTTGGATAAGGAGGCCTTCGATCAACTGATTGATTCGCATTGAAGATTTTGATAAAATAGATTTACTTTTCATGTTGTACCATATCGGCTCGTCCTCGCTCATGAGCCTCCAGCTATTACTACGAGAAGCTCTGCTGCTGGGCGGATGCTTCCTGCCTGCCTCCTGCGCCTCTTCCTATTAGTCCGCTTTCTTTGACATCGACTGACTATTGGTGAACGTGAGTAAAAATGGTCAAAGGCCATCTGAGATGAGCGGTGTAAGATGACTCACCCTATCAAGACATTACTAAAGGTTAGGGTAGAAACAGATGTGGCTCTTACTCCGATGCCATTTTGAGACTCTAGAAGTCCCTTTTGGTAACCCTACTAATTTCAGACTATATTTCTATTGTGACGACCCTTCCCTTAACAAGGCTAATGGTTCAGCTGTATTTGAAGCAATACGAGAAGTGACAGTCCGGCTGACGACAAGAAGGCCATACACTGATACGGTGCTACACATTGCAGATTTTTTGTCATGAGGTCATGAAGCAATCACCATTACACATGCCAGTAGTCATCGATCGACCACACTATAGTTGGGATATTGTATTATGATGACCACCAGCACCCACACATAGCTCATGAGGAGCCATATCCTTGAGTATTGGCTGTGGGTGGTGGTGCCTGGAGTACCGTCCTACTACATTTCCTACGTTTGTCAAAATTACCTCAAGACCATTTGCGATGAGGTAGCTCTATATCACACTGCATGCAGCATGCTAAAGCAGCTACTGTACGACTTTTTCATACGGTAGTAATTAACAATATTGAATCGAATCATCCGACACAACTGGTCCCGGGGCGAACTGTGCGCCTGATACCAATACCGCGTGACCCGTATTTTTTGTGCTTGATCATATTTTGAATTTATAAAAATATCGTTGTAACGTCTCAAAGAAGCTTGATGCAGTAGGGTTGCGTTGGAAACATAAACCCAACTTACCGGTACGGTACAAGAGCAGCTTTCGTCTGCAATCTACACGTACCGTACCGAAAGACCATCTCTGCAGTGAGAGAGTTTCACCCTGCAAGTCTTGCATCATGTGTGATTGAGTGAGTCATTCATTGGCTAAATGTCGTCAATCGGCTAAATGTCATTGTTCTCTTTTTTATTATGTGTGGTTCTCAGGGACCATTATGTTGGTTCGTCTTTTTGTGATGTTTCAATTATAGTGCGGCGATATGGCGGAGCGGATGAAAATTCGCCTTCGCATGATCTTTATGTGGAATCTATGTGTTCGCCACACTGGATCCGATCGGCCAAAACTGCATACAGGCACAGAACGGCATTTGTGGCATCGCCTACCACGCGATAGAAGCGAAAACCTCATCATGCGCAATACTACAGTAGGCAGTAGATATACCGATATATTATTATTATACGGTGCGGCAGCGAAAACTGAGCGGGAACCAAAAAACCTGCATAGCTGCATACACTGCATACTGCTCGATTCTGTTTGTTTGTTTCTGGCAACCATGAAATTTATCAAATCCACAAGACATCGTTCGTCTGCTGAGAAAAGGAAAAGCAGCAACCTTTTTACAGTCTGTGAAAGCAGCGCCTCTCTGCAGGAACATCAACACGAAGTTGGTAACAGTTCTGAAGAAAACGTCAAGTTTTCACCTTTGTTTTTCAAAATGGAAGAAATTGAATGTTTGAATCGATTGCAAGCCTATTGCCGTTCCAAGAAACTGCGAGTCACAAATCAAATGATTTATCGCTTTGCCATATTCCATGGATTCAATGTGAATCGGGCCAGCAGGGCCATTGCCAAGAAATACGATCATCCCTACATGAATTTCCGTTTGGAAGACGAACTCGCACAGTACATACGTAAGACACTAACCCTGTTTCCAGTGCCGGGACTCAAGAGTGCCATTGGGTCTGATGTGATCTATTGGCATCCCTCCCGCTATCAACCATCGGCAAGTAGCAACCGGCTCTTGGTGGAAAACATGTGTTTTTTACTGAACGATATGAATCAGACCATTGACCAGTGTCGGAATGGGATTCTGCTTTTGGTCAACATGGATGGTTACAAGATGAAAAACTTTCATAGAGATACACAAATGAGACTGACCAAGATCACGGAAGGTCAGGTGATTCCAGCGAGCATTGTTCAGATCCTCATTGTCAATCCTCCACCCTTTTTTGAACGAATATGGAAGATCGTTAGGCCAGCCTTCTCGGCCTTGTTTTCCAGGAGGATTAAACTCATTCCATGTGACAAGCTTGGTAACTATCTCATGGAAGGGTACGAAGAATATTTACCTGATGACTTTGACATTGACGGTAGAAATGCATTGGAACTAGTCGAGAACTGGCTGGATGTTAAGACTAAGGAAGAACAACTTCGGACAACAACAGCCCCTTTGGCAGAATGTCCAACTGAACGATGTGAGCAGCCGTTGTCAACATCGCCATGATGATGTTGATAAAAACTGGCATCGCAAAAACAAAACAAAAAGTATCAAGCCCAGCCGTGGGGCTCCTATCAGGCAGCTGCGGTTGACAGAGTAGTAGGCATTATGTGAAACCAATTGTGTATATACGGCTGCATAAATTTTGAATAGATTTTGAATTATTATTTGCTTTGGTGTTTTGCTTTCTGTCGTTTCTGTCGTCACAGAAAGTCCCTGCTTGGACGAAAAAAATCAGGGCTTCATATTGAATGTGCTTCTTCTCCACAAGATGTATTATTGATGGACTATGCTATTGGGTTGACATTGTATGAATCCAATTCCAATATTATAACTGCAATCAATATATAAGGTATAAAAGGTATATTCATATTCATATTCCAACCGCAACCGAAAAGGGTCTGACTCATATTGTAATACTGGATGCATAATAATATATAACACTGGTATAACACAATAGTATCATAAACTTGGGCCAATAGCTCCACACATAAAAAGTATACGGCCTTTTTGTTTCTGCCCTTTTCTTCCAATATGTACCTATACTGTGAACCTACCGCTATACTTTCAGTGGAACATGTGCTTCCATTTTATCATATCGCTTGTTGTCGTCCTTCTCATCGTTGAAGAGAAACCGCATGTACGCATAATTCTTGTACTGCAATTTTCCACTATAATCCGTTCCTGTTTCCATGGTGACTCCTAGCCCGTCCCATGAATTCTGATTGCTCCGATACACCTTATCAGCCGCCACGGCCAAAATGGCAGGTCCTGACAAACAGACGACTCGTAACTTCATGGGGAAACTAGTCTGGTTATTGCTGTTTGTGTTTGTTTCATTCTTTGTAGTAGTGGTAGTACTATTGGTGTCGACCCACTTACCAATCAAGGCGGTGGCCAAATTCATAGTCTCCAACAGAATGGGATGTTTGGGTCGTGGAAAGATCATAGCCCACTGGGCCACGGAATTGTTGGTCATGAGAATCGTTTGAGGAAATTGAAAGTTGATAGACTTCCAAATGGGGGTGCAGTCCGTCACCATGGCGTCAAAATGATTGCCTCCCTGTGACAATACCACGTTGTCTTTTATCCAGCTTGACAATGTGATAGCCTTGTTGACTCCGACATCGGCATCCATATAGACTCCACCCTCGTTGAACAAGACACAATACCTCCACAAATCAGCTCTCAAGGCATGTAAGGAAGGATTGGTCTGATTGTACATTTCCCAGTACGATCCTGGACAATTGGTTTGAACGTAACTATCAATTTCCGAATCGACCAATACTTTTCGTTGCCGGTCGGGATTCTTGTCCATGACTTGCATCCAATAGGATTCCAATTGTCCTGGAAAGGTATGATCCTTCCAGGTTTGCCATAGTGTTGGATTTGTCCTGAGGATGCGTTTATTGTTCGCATATTGGGATTTCGACTTCAATGAGGATAATTCTTGTCGATACATGGAAATGTATTCGTTCAGGGGTATTCGTCTTGTGCAATTGTGTTCCCATTTTTGGTGTTCATCCAGAACACAAGATGAAGATGATGATGATGAGACTGTGTCTTCAACGAGGGCTTCACGAGCGCTATTGATGGGCTGTGTATCGCTTGCAATTGATGCCTCATTCTCTTGCTGGTCCCCAGTACTGGGAATGACATTCAGATTATTGTATTCCTCAGGTGACGCAATCGTCCTGACATTATTAGTAGTAGTATGATGATTTAACGACGAAGACGGCTTGGCAATGTCTTGAAGCACAGGAAGGTAACTGCTGATATCATCACTGAGTGGGCTAGTGTTTGTATGTCCTCGAAAGACGGAAAGCATGACGATGACGAATCCGAATAATGCCAAGATCCGTTTCATCATCTGATAACAATGATGTATCAGTACGCACGGCAAATAGGTCAGCAGTCGTTGACAGTAGCATATCGCTCCGGACTTGTTGCGATATTTATCATCGTCGTGGGGTGACTGTGGAGGTGAGTGAGTCCCTGTTGAAATTGATTTCCGCTCCATGCCGATGACAATAATGTAACGATCATTGTCATTGTCTTGGAAAATGACCGAGCAATACAAAATTAGAATGATGAAGAAAGGAAAAGCTATGTATGTACCTGGACATGAATAGATTGATTGATTCCATGGAACAACATAAAAACGAAGTAGTATTCGACTGTACCGGTAGGTATTTGGTAGGTACCTGTATTGTAGATAATAGTCAAATGAAATAGCTTACGTATAATTAAGATTATACCTTATTCAACCCATCAGTACACATTATATCCATCTGCGGCAACTCATTTCAGGAATAAGAGTCACTTGGGCTTGTCATAATTCACAGACCATGGCGGTGATGATGATGGCAGAAGTATAAAAGTACGTACATTCCAATGACATGGTGGCAGCCCGGTCATCTATGTTATTCACAACTTCCAGAATAATTAACTCCAGCATCAACATCACCACCACCGCCTCAATATTTATACACGCCTTATGGATTGTTTTGCACCAAGGCATTTCCTTGTTCTCGTTGTTGGTCTTGAAAGGTTTTCAAATCCTGATAATCTTCTATTATTTCGGAGGATGCTTTCCAACCCCCGGCGGCATTCGGCAAATGGGCTTCACAGCCTTCGGGCAAATGCTCGCCCGTGAGCAAAGCATCCCCATCAATCAGGCGGCACTTTTTGGCAAAGGATTCCACCAACATTGGTTTGGTCTGAGTCTTCCAAATTTTACTATGGAACCACTTGGGGCCGTCCACCAAAAGGACCAGATTGACCGTGGTTGGCACCAGACTCCCTTGCAAGGTCAACATGAGTTGGGTCCAAAAGTCCATGGAGAATTTGGCTTCTTCGCAGCGCTTCATATTGATAATGACCGCCACTCCCTTTTTGCACTGTTCTTTGGTAACGCTTAGATCGTTCAACACATAGCAGAGCGACTGGAGGACCCTAATCGCATGGTTGCCGGAGTTATCATTGTCCGGACCAGGAAATCGAGAAGCTTGGATGTAACAGATGTCCAGCTTGTCTTTGCGAGTTTGCAACCCACTCAGAGGAAAGACGGTTCGTGTAGAAAACTGTCGATGCAAGAATCCCTTCATTTCGAGATTCAAATGATGATTGTCTGCGTTTTCTATCAAAGCTTCTTTGGTGATGGCTAAATGAAATTTGTGAAAGGCGGCAAAGCGATAAATTGTCTCTTTGGAAAATGGCAGGTTGGCTTTTTCGCAATATTCCTCCAGTGCCTTCAACACCGTGCTTTCGGATTGAGAATTATTATTACCATGAGACGAAGACATGACACGTTCCTCTTCAGTAGCACCAGTAGGTCCCTCGTTTGGAGTAGACAGCCTGCGGAGGATGTTTTTCTTGGCTTTGTTTGGAGACAAGAGATTCTTGGTCTTGGATGGGGACAACATGAAGTACCTACGGTATTGATATATATTACAATCTTCTTCGCTTGCTGAATCAGAGATTCAGATTTCAGAAGGCGGAAAGATTGGTCGTTTCGGCTTGTCTTTTGTTGAGATTGTGAGTGGCGATGTTGTTGTTGTTGTTGTTTAGTTCTGGCTGGCTATGTATGTCGGATCTGAACTGTAGGCAGGATGTGGGGTTGCAGCGTAGTTCACTGATGTCAGCAGAAGGTACGGTACCGTAATTGATGAAAGTTACTTTTTTTAGATGATGATTTGAGTACCGATGAGAGCCACTGTTATTTTCCGCACATACAATCTGTCGAACAGGCCTAAATAGCGTTGCCGGCAAATCTTACTTAACGTTTTAGATCAGTAGTTTCAATAATTGTTCTTCCCCAACATGTCTGTTCCCAATCTTTCGAATTCTCGAAGGACGCGCGACGCAAAATCAGAAATCTTGGAATTCGAAAATCTTCTCAAACCTACAGTAGAAGTAGCTGCAATGATGGTGTAACATTGATGATGAATGATGATAGAGCTACAGCTGTTGCGACGTTTCTGAAACCTCCAACAAGCACATGAGATATGCATCGTACAGTTCCCATCCCTGAAATCAGACAATGAAGTACTAGCTAGCTACTGCTGATGGAGCGATGATCATCATGGGATGATACTTGATGGACGATGATTCGAACCATCAAATATATGAGTGACGTGACTGCCAACATGACAACGGTGCTGTCTCAAATGCCATATAGTCTGCAAAGTGGCCCGTCTTCTTTTCCCACCAGTGCAGCTTTGCTTACTACGTACACGGTATACACGTACACTACTATCATAGTCTAGTATTCGTAGAAAGGTACATATCTGGTTCATACTGTACCACATAGCAAAAGTTCGATACAAGGCCACATTTATCGCGTTATAGTTTCAAACATTTGTTTGAATGATGTTGTTTCACGCCATATTTATGTGTACATGTACACGTGTCCCTAGCACAAAGTCGAAAATATTGTACTGCAACATTACAAAATATATACGTGTATATATATATGGTACAAAAACTAATATTATGAAGCTGAAGCATCCTCTAGTTCATTCTAAAGTACCAGGCACTAGCGCTGTAAAAGATAATCAAAAGACCACAATTCGAATATATATATATATATGACAATAAAACATGCCAATCTGGTACTGTACTACAATTATAGTAGTAATTAGTTAAAATGGTGTAAGACGCCGCTGCCCCGTTGTTGGGATGTTCAGTCCAGTGCCATCATCGTGATACTGCATGCACCACCGAGTATTGCAATAAAAATTATTATTATTGGCAACAACGGCTGTTCACATGTCTGACGGATATCGCTTGCTCCCCATATTTGAGCAGGGTGATGGATCACATGACACTGATATCCCAAGCGAGGCTTCCGCTTTGCCTTTCAATCCCTTGGAAATAGTATAATCTCAAATCGATGATCTTGTTCTTGAAGTAGATACGCCAATCCCAAATCCTAAAGGGACCACTTATCTGGGATCTTACTGATCAGGACGCGCTTACGAGCCTCGACCTGCCCATCCCACCCCCGTCGTCCCACCCAAACGATTGATTCGTTTTAGGTGGCCAAACAAGACTGGAGGGAAGCACCCAGTCGCAGCAAGCCATGAAATCATCTGGTTTCGCGTCGCCGATGAGACCTAGTGAGTGACCAATTCACTAGAAACCACAAAGGCAAACACTGGCCTTCCGAAGGATCCCTTGGAAGTGTGACAATACAATAAATGCGGAAATGTATTCTCGCCAAAATGTCCTAAAAGAGAAAAGAAAGAAAAGGTGAGATCATGGTTTAAAAAGTAAATGCAATTGATGGGGTGAATTTCCAGGTAAAACTCTTTGATGGGTTGTTCGTGTGTTGTCGCACACTATTATCATACTTCATCTCTTTCAAAGTCGTAGCAAGAATGTGCTTTACTTGGCACCTTTTCCTCGATTTACCACTCGGCGACTGTAGCGTCGTCCTTTTTCCGTCATGCCAGATCCCAAAGCTTCAGTAGAAGGATCCTTCTTATCTGGCGAAAGCTTGAGCTGTAGCCGTCGGCTGTAGCGCTTTCCGGATTCGGTCCATCCAGATCCCATTCCATCAGAAGGAATATCATTCGTAGCTGCGTTGTCAGATTGCTCAGTTGGTGCTGCAAAAATCTCGCCATCGCTACCATCCTGCTCCAAAGAATCGAAGTCGTCATTAATCAATCCAGCATCAAAAGGCGACTCGTCCATGGTACTCAAGTCTTCTCCCTCTGGATCTTCGATAATGACAAGAAGGGAAGGTTTGAATTCCTTCTTCTCGTTCACGTCGTCGACTTCTTCTTCTTCCTCCTCCTTCTTTGGATCTTCGATAATGACAAGAAGGGTTGGTTCAAAATCGATCTTCTTTTCAGAAATTTTCTTCTTCTGGCCGTTGCTTCTTCTGGCTCTTGCCTTATTTGCCCACTTGGCTCTCTTGGCCTTGGCCATGTTGTTCAAATTCGCCTTCTCGCCCAAGATCTCCTCGGCCTTCTTGACCCAAATAGCGTCAGCTTTGACAAGTTCAGTCGATCGTGCATTGGCGATGTCATCGTTGAATCCAGCATCCAACGACGAGTCAATGTGGCTCTCGTCGCCGTCTTCTTCTGGATCTTCGATTAGGACAGGCAGCAAAGGAGTGAAGAGTTCGTTGGTTCGTTTGGCCCATGTTGCAGCGCAAGTTGGAACTGTAGATGATGAATTCATTTTGCGACGTTTGGTGGGTCTGGATGAAATAAGGCAGGAAGTTGCGGTTCGCTTGAGTGACAATGGTGCTTGTTCTTCCATGCAGCTCTCGTCGTCATTGATGTCGTCGTCATCCAAATCCATTGGTACTGGAATATTGGAGAGCATGTCCTGAAGGACCGTTGGAAGCATTTGTCGGTGGTTCTCAAGCGCGATAGCAATGATTTCAGAGTCGATTTTGCCATCAATAAATCCAGTATCCAAAGACGAGTCAATGTCACTCAAATCTTCTTCTGCTGGATCTTCGATAATGGTGGCAAGCACGGTAGGTTTGAAATCGATCATCAAGCGTCGGGCATTCCGTCTCTTGATCTTGTGGTCAATTTGACGAATTAGCTGCCTTCGGGACTGAAGATCTTGCTCGTCGGGAATGAAGTTTTTCCTTCGAGTTTTAGGGGCGAATTGGACTTGGTTTGAAGAGGTTGGTTTGGGTGATCCCCAATCGTTTCTTGAAGGACGAAGAATGGACACAGGAGTGTGTGGAACGAATCTCACTGTGTTCTCTATCTCTGGAATTACTTCGTCGCGAAGTTGGATGCGCCATTGAATCTTACCCCAGCATTCCCTGCGAGATTGTAGCTCTTGCTCGTTTGGGACAAAGGTTCGACGAAAGATTTTGGCGAAACGGACACGGTTTGGTTTTAAGATGAACACACCCAACCAACTTCGGTTTTTCTTGCGAGACCCGCCATCTGGACGACGAAGGATGGAAACAGGAGGCTGTCGTCTGTTCCATTGCTTACAAAGTCTCTGATAGGTTCGGTAAGTGTCGAGTACCATGTACCGAAGTAACACGATTGCGACTGCACAAACCAAACCGGTAATGATGGTTTCTTGAACTGGTTGTTCTTGTTGTTGTTGTTGTTGTTGAGTGATGGCACTCATTCGAGGTAACTTGGGAAAGCTGATGCTTTTCAAGCTTTCTTGATTGACAAAGGTAGTGATGTAGTTGGTCATGATTGTTGTTGTTGTTGTTGTTGATTCAAAGAGGTTCATAATGGAAATTGTGAGGTGTTGCGTTGAGGCGGTGTGGAGTGAAAACCACGGCGGGTTGGAGATCGCCAATTTGCCGTGTTTTTAACACGATTGACTCCTTCGAATCCTCGTTTGGTGGTCTCGGTGGACGGTGTTGTTTTGTACCTGGTACCTGGTACGTGTACGGTAGTGTTTTGTAGGCACGTCACAGTATGTCTGCAAATTGCGTTTCCCCCCGTACACATGTTCCACGAACGGGTATTAACCGCCAACAAGCGGGTGTAAACGGCTTTTTGTTGCACCCGATTTCAGATTCATTCATGCTGCGTCATCATCTCATCACAACATAATAATATACTATCGATATCATTGTCCATTGCAGAACAGAGGAATTGCAATACTCGTTCGTTTCACTGGTTCATCATAGTTTGCTTTCTTTTGAACATTCATTGAATACGGTAATCAATCTTTTAACTGTCAAGATGGTACGAAATATGATATGACAGTATATGATGTCTTGCATTACTATAGTAGTCACAGGTCACAGCAGCACGATTTCCCATTCATGTATTATTTGATCTGATGTTTCTCATGATATTGTCTCTTCTCTTTCATTGTTATTCTCTATTGGCTTGCTTCTCATCATTGATCTTTTGATAACATTATTGTCTTTTACCACTGATGGCGGCTGCGGGTCTCTTATTATTCTTGCTTATTTCTTATAATTCCTCATACACATTATGGATGATAGCCCAAGGCTTGTTCCGAAGCAGCGCTGAGTCTCCTGTCGTGCATGGAAGAATCACCCTGCATGAAAGACCCTTCTCAAAAAAAGACTTTGTATGAATGCATGAAGGATGAAGTGGAGGCGGAACCCTGCAAGGCGGAACGAAATGCCTATTACTTGTGCAAACATTCTCAGTTGAATATGAGAACACGCATTCGAGGGACACGGACTTATTAAAAGATATATGAAAGGACTTATTGTGATAGAACAAATGGATATATGAGAGGCGTGTATTATTGCCTCCATCAAGTTTTGGCATAACTGTGATGTACTGTATGCTTATGGGGCCTGGGCTGGAATGATAGATAGACGGTACCATATGTCTGAATGGAGAATGGATAAGCGCACTGATGAAGCAAAGTAAAACAAACTAAGATTATGTTATCTTTCTTTCCTTCTTTCGTTATTACCTTGCATCGTTGCAAATTCAGTTCATTACAGATTACCTATGTAGATTCTTTGTCATATTCTCATTGCGTACTAATACCAGCAAGTTCCTTGATGAGTGCTGGAACAATCAAAACGGCATACAATGGATTCCGCCGCAAAAAATCCCACGCTCGAAAGTGAAAGATGGATCCTCCAATGGCCAGTTCATGGTTTGGATTCGCAGCAGCACCAATATCAATTCTTTCACTCGTAGAACAAGTAGTAGTACTTGCTGCTGGGTCGTCATCGTCATCGTCATCATTGTTGTTGTTGGCTTGGGGATTGTGGCATGCGGTGTCTTGTTGCTTCTTATGCTTCGTATTGGCTTTGTCGTCAGACAGTCGATAATAATCCACTCGGTGCCAGGTCCATGTCGGTACCCACAGGGCATCCGATGGTCCAGTGGCGGCGGTCCAATGTGGAATTCGTCGTTGGCTGAGTGCATCCGGCAATGTAGTGGTGGTGGTGGTGGTGGTGCCATGATTATTGGTGCTACTACCACTGCCGTCTACCTTCAAGGCGGACGCAAAAAAGGCACGACCATCGGACGCCAAGGATGGTTCCAACCAGGCAGAATACTTGGGTGAGACCAATGTCCATTCTTTGGATCCTTCCACTTGAAAGGCGACATTGCCAATGGGTTCGCAGTGGAGGCCAGTAGTGATATGATTATCCTGCTCTTGCTGCTGCTGCTGCTTCTTCTTCTTTTGCTCCTGCTGCTTGGATGGTTTCTTGGTGGATGACAGGGAGTCTTCTTGGATTGCCGATGATGATGATGCTGCTGAGGTCGATGATTCTTCTTCTTGCTCATGGGTTTCCTCATCAATATTCACAGCAGCTTGATCTGAAAGAATATTATCAGTATTCTTCTTGACCAACCGGTTTGCCACAAAGACTGGGACTGTGGTTGTCGCTGGCAGGAATCGGCCCGGTATTATATCCTCGGGGCGAAAGTGATTCCCAAACAAAAAGGACAACAAGTTCCCAGTAGTAGTCGTAGTAGTAGTAGTAGTTTCAACATCTCCACCACCACCACCACCAAAAGCCTCTCCTGTCAATTCTTGCATCATTTCCACATGTTCTTGAACAATGAGTTGGGATCCAATCTTGTAGGGATGCCCATTTAGCATTCCTTGAACAATTTCGGAAACTGGGGCTTTGGCCGTTGGGGTCAAGGCTCCTGGCTTGTGTGCTTGTTCAAAGTATGGAATGACTTGATCCAATTCCAACAAGCCTTGAAGTGACAAGCGTCGCTGAGGAGGAGTACTCGTCCCGTCAGCAGCAGCAGCAGCATCATCATTATTATTGTTGTTGTTGTTGTTGTTGTTGTTGTTGTTGTTGTTGTTGTTGTTGTTGTTGTTGTTGTTGTTGTTGTTGTAATCGAGTAGTCCTTCCAACAGGAGTGGTCGTTCCCTCCAATCAGTTCCATAGGTCTTGATCAAGTAGTCCGATACAAATTGGACAAAGGCATAATCATCATCATCATCATCATCACCATCATGATTATCATGTCCCTGACGATACGATCGAAGCAAGTCTCGAATGACAATACGGGGAATCTCCAATTCCAAGGACGATTGTTGGTCTTGTGATGATGGTAACAAGGTTGTTGTTTGCATCATTGTCATCATTGTCATCATTGTCATGTTGTTATTATTAGGAGACGGCGAAAAGGCGGAGGAGGCGGCCCAACACTTTTGTTGCAATTCCAATCTATAATCATCATTGACCATAAGAATGGCCGGCATCCAATTCACCAACGACCAAGCCAAGGAAATCATTCCCTGTTTCAGTGTGATTGAGGACATTTGTAGTAAGAATAATAGTGATGGTTTCACTATTGTTGTTGATGTTGTTGATGATGATGATGGTGGTAGTGGTGAATAAATGTCGTCGTAGAGTGATGGTGATGAAAGCATTCCTGCCATGAACAGCAACAGAATGATGGAAAGAAATAAGCGAACGAGGAAGCCTTTGATTCTTATTGTCAATGGTGATGATTTGTCTGCGGAAGGATAGCTTGTCATGGTAACATTTGTTTTGCTGTTAGCTTTGCTTTTATCATATTTGCTTGTCGTCATTGTGTTTTTTAATAACAAGGCTGTTCAATATTAGTCATGATGCATGATGATGAAGAATGAATGATGATTTTTTCATGTTGGCCCAAAGAAACTATATAATGTCTTTTGATTACTCAAGGTACCAGGTACCGCATCATCTCATCTCATCTCATTTTCTATGATGTGCATGGCGGCAACATTCCAAAGTCCAACGAACAGTACAGTACGATCAACATAATTTAAATCCACAAAGAGAGAAAGAGAAAGAGCTAACAAATTAAAATCTAAAACTTGCAGCACAGGTCATTTTTGGAAACAAACATCTTTTGCTTCCAGTTCGTATGATGATGGTGTGGTGGTAATCTTTCGAAAACAACCACCAACAAGCTTGATTGATGAATGTATAATGCACCCTTGATTGATTGGTAGCACTTGCTTGGAAGTTATTCCTCTGACAGCAGCTACTGTAGTAGTGTAGTGTCTACCAGCACGACGAGCTACATACACGCCAAGTATGATCAAGACAATAACAGCAGAGATCAGCACTGTGGCTTTCAAGAAGGTCATGTTGATGCCATCAAAGACCAGCGTGCCACTGTGACACGACGGTAGAGTACTATACCTAAAGCAGCTCATCATGATGGAAATGGTAATGATCGTTTCAAAGGGGACCGCACATGGCTGAATCGACCGCTGCCTGGATGATACGCATTCTTCAGTATATCGATTCCATATATATAGCAATCGATTCAGCATCGATTGCTAGGGCAGAAAAGGAACCGCAATGTTCATGCTCATAGAGATGGTCTGCGTGATTCATGAATTTCGTTCGTGTTGTCTTCATTCATTCGTTCACTCTCAAGTAGATGATCGTTTCTGAAAGGTTCTTTGGAATTGCTTTCGAATCGCAGCCTTTTGTTCTGCATCAATCTTGCTGGTTGTGAGGGCCAAGAAGGACATCTTTTGTTGCATTCCAGGACTCATGCCCTTGAACATTTTGTTGAGATTATGATTGGTTTTACTAGTTGCAGTTGCAGTTGCAGTTGCAGTAGTAGTTGTAGTAGTTGTTGTAGCAGTAGTAGCATCCGCGGAAGAGGAGGCTTCGGCAAACAAGATCGGTCCAGAACCAGAAGAAGAGCCGGCCATCAGCATACAGAATGAAAGAACTGCGAAGAGAAATAAGATCTTGAAGGAGGTAGTAGCATTCGTAGAAGTTTGAAGTGCCATGGTAAAGTTTGAAAAGTTTTTTATCACTGTTCTTCTCTTGTCGTTGCTAATGGTGGTGTCACGCTGTGTTCCAATCGCGGCGATACGCGGCTGATATTGAGTGATTATGTGCGTGTTGCCAATCGCGTGGAAAGATTTATTATTGTGACCTGAAAAATTGATGGATGATGATGATGTCGTGTATGATGTATGTGCAGAGTCAGTCTCAGTCAGATTTTTTTTTTGGTGATGTTCGAATTCCTCACGCATTCCATCCCTCCACGTGTGGCCAAAATTTGAATAGTGCGTCAGCATTTCATAACGAGCGATGGAAAGACACTTAACAACCACTAAGGATTCACAAGACTGACAGTCCCGCGATGATGATGCATGCCAAACAAAAACGTCAACCAAATTTCGGATGAGGCAAGAATATACCGGTATATAAGATTTGGGGAGAAAGATAGGAAGAATGATCGATTTGGTGGAGAAGCTCTTGACGAAGGTCTTGTAGAGAATAGATTGGCATCGACCAAGGATGACTGACTGCTCAGTCAGCGAGGCAAACAACCATTAGGGTTGATTCGAATGGGCAAGAGGTCTCGGTGACGAACATTTTAAAATAATCTCTTCTTCTTTCTCATTCGTCGTCATCGCCTCCTATATATATATCTATATATATATATGTGTGTGTGTGTGAGGAGGTCTTGAAGGAAAAGCAAGAATTGTAAGAAGACAGACAGTCATATACTCTCCGATCAGCAATTTCCTATCACCTTGCAACAGTGACGTGCACCAGTACTAAGTACGGAAAAAGAATTCTGGATGTGAAGGAGCATATATGAGCCACCACTTATGTGCCCACCATATGAGACCACCACCATAGCAACCATAATGGCACAATCAAGAAGACCGAACAAGAATTCATCGAAATAAGAGCGTTGGATGTCTTTCGGTCAAAAGAAAGCTTGGACATTGCCCAAAAGACTAGTCCTATTTCTTCAACGGGACCTGCTACTACCGTACTTCGCACGCTTTCTCTTCATCAACTATATAGTATATTACGACTCCAAACAAGTGGCAAACGTTTCAAAATGGGTATGGGGCTATCAGCAATCAAACTTGGCAGAACACATAAATCTACGCTATGATACATTATTACTTCGATTCATTCGAGGAACCCGCCCATCGACCACCATTCTCAACAAAACCGCTGCTCTTTTGGTGGTCTGCTTGTGCAAAAGCCAAATGAGCTTATTATCCAATCGTCGATGCCTTGAACAAAAGAACGCATTGAATGCCTTTTGCCAAAGAATGAAACAAAGGTGTGGTGCGATCGTTGTGTTTGCTTCGTCATGCGCTTCGGGATTGGGATAGTATGCTCACAGCTAGATTTTGAAGCGTAGACTGACTAGTAAAGGCATTAACTATTTTTTAAAAGTACAATCATCTCTGCTAATTGGATGGCTTTCGGTCTGGTCGCTGTGTAAGAACTTGCTCATACTGAACATCGGAGTGAGTGAAAAGTGAGTCATATGCTTCTGAATGAACTTCATATCATCAATATTGATGTTTCACCTTGCTGGAAACTTGTTTTTCTCATTCAGGATCTGCATCCTTCCTAATAATATCCGGTGTGTGATTGATTGTTGTATATATGAATTTGCCAACTCAAACAGAGGCACCGTCATATTCGAATATGCGGTTGCTCTCTTTTCCGCATCGTTTACAGAACGTTATATGCGTACAGTACAGGCTCTCTATATACGCAAACTTCCCAGATGCTCTAGTGAGGAACTTGTCCGAAATCAAACAAACGATCGTACTGTACAACTAAATAAATACATAGCTATTGGCTCTAGCCTACAATCGTCTACAAGGGACCGAGAACGAATCCATGCACCAGTTTCTTGGTGACGATGATTGATGATTGATGTCATAATGATGAAGGAAGGAGGAACCAACCATCCATCACGAGGAATGCATTCCAAAAAGGATTTTCCATCACAATAAGCATACAATTATAAAATTGTTTACAGATCGGCAGACACGTCGAATCCAAAATTCCTAAATCAGATCTCTAAACTTATTTCAGTAGGCCTGCCGCCTACCAGATGGATTCATTCCATTCTAAATTGACGTGGTTTGCATTGTGTGATAAAAAGGAGACGGCCAACCACGGTGTTGGATCACCCTTTGTTTACTCTTCATCCTCTTCGTCTTCTTCGTCGTCATCTTCATCCTATGTAACAACATCAAGAAAACATAATAATTAGAGTCAGAATGCCATTCACGACGTGATAAGAGTAGTAGACGGTGGGGCGACTGATTCATCAGCAAATTCAATGGATTGAATTCCATGCTTCTATTACTTACATCATCATCGTCGTCGTCGTCATCATCATCATCATCGTCATCTTCACCTGGATTGATAGCCTGGAGAGCAAAATACTCCCACTTTTCTTGCAGTGTCATGCCCTTGGTGAGCTTTTTCTTAGCGTACAGACTTCCGCTAGCGGGTTCGGCCAACGTCGTCCTCACAAAGGGATCTTGAAGCATTGCTGTAGAGACCCAAAAGGTGGCATCGTTGGAAGCTTGTGTAAAGACAGCAGAGCTAGTTGCAGGAGACATCATTGACACCACCCTGGAGAGAGGAGGATCACGATGATCATTGTTGTCCTCTTTGCTGGCGTAAACAGCCGTTGCTGCCGCTCCCATGGCGCAGCTGGCGACCATCAAGTGACGACGAATGGAATTGCTGATGATTGACATTGTGTGTATGTACAAATGAATGGATTGCCAATGCTATAGTACCACTATTATGACTGACAGTATTGTACTGTACTCGTAAATTGAAAATAGTCAATCACGTCACGACTTGCACGAACTTTCGAAGTTTGTTTTTCCAACGGTATGGTATCCAGAACTCTGCCGCGCGCCGGTCTGCCGTTGATTCCGTACTTCTTCTACGTTTGGTGTCGAATGCGAATCATATCATGTCTATCGCTTCTGATGATTGGTCAATAGTCTTGACAATGGAATCATAAAATGGAATCATAAAATGGAATCAGAAAGTCAATGATTGATTGCAATCCTGTATCCGCCGTCGGAGAACCAGAAATTAAAAGCGCTTCAATGGGTTCGCGCTCACTCCTAACACGTACCGTATATATATATATTGCTACCTGCAGCTCCTCGATTTGAGATGAAATGAGAAGGTTTGATTTTTGTAGCTTCTCCAATCAAGAAGTGAGAATCGTTGAGAGGATTCACAAATGTGATCGCGAGATTCCCAGTTAGTGAATGCAACTGCAACTGCAAATAGCATTGTTTGTTCTGCAAATGGAAAATTGATTGAGCACATCGCATGTATTGGTAATGTGTCGTGCGATCTTATTTGTAGAAACAACAAGAAGGAGAGTTAGCCAAAGACACTCGAAATGAGAGCGCGAAGCTGAGCTAGCAGAGCGCCAATTGTAATATGATTGTTCGGCCAATATAAGGGAAAGTGGAGCGGAACACAAATCGGTTTGTTACCCAAATACTGTACAAATTGTCGTGCGTGGTGAAGGAGATGGAAGCAAGGAGTGAGTGAAGATCGACACGACACGACAGTACCTGGTAGCAGTACCATGTTCATTAATCAGTTGCGGGTAGTGTAATAATACCGTTTTCACTTGCTACTACCGGTAGGGATCAAGAGAGGCTTCTTTTATTATATTTTATGTACCGGCACATTGTTTTTATCTTTTGTACTACAAGTACCGGCAGGAACGGCGTGATACCTGGTAACAGCCGGAGGCATCAATTGCGTTTTTGTGTGTGCGGAGTAATGATTTTACTTGTACACCTCGTACCGTACCCAAGTGTGCTCTGATTCATTCAGTGGGATCTCGAATTCATGTATTCCACGGAAAGCGTTTGCTCAATGGTTTTCGAAACACTTTTTAGTGGGGTGCTTTTTCTGTCGAAATCGGGAATCCATTGCCGAAATAGTTGTCGTTCACTGGTGAGTGGTGAGGAAGCGCTTTCAACGATAAAAACAAAACGAAGCACTACGACGAATGAATGAATAAATTAATCCGCGGTTTAAAGTTCGCTCAATGAGCGTGTGGGCTAGGACTTTCTAGTAGGGTGTAATTTCCCTAATGTTTTGATGTCAAAAGAAAAACTTAAGTGTTGACCGAGCGAAGCGCTTTTTGTTAGGAACAGAACGGAAGCCAATCGAAACCCAATCGAAGATTGTAAGCAACATTTTTACACTCTCTACTGGTCGACAAGGGCGCTCCGTTCAATTTTTATGCTCTTACACGTCACGTAGTGAACAATACACCCTCCGCTCAATAAATACTAACAACGTGGGATCTTTAAATAAATGGGTACCAACCCTAATCGACAATTTGAGCCGCAAAATAAAACAGGTAGAAGCATTCGTTGTTCGATCGTATTCCAATCCGAATGCGGTGAGTGTTTCTGTCTTTTACTTAGGACAAACAGCTCCTTCTCGTCGTTTCGACACATTGTCCACCTACACTACATAATGAAAATAACGTAGGTGGGGAGGACTTTGTGCTCTGCAATAGGTACTATGCGGTCAAGATCAAACGGGAAGAAACTTGGACTCAAAAGGAATGATTGATTCGTTCCGCTCTCTTTTTCTTCGTAGTCGTTCCGCTCACACAAAAAGACTCATTATCCTCATAATTTTGACCACGCCTCAAGACACAAAGAAAACATGATGAATCAAATCTTGCAAAGTATCACCAACAATAACAACAGCAATAACGGTAATGATCAATCGCCGTCTTTCGTGTCTATTCTTGAAGCTTACCAACGAGAAAAGACAATGAACGAAATGATCTTCAAGAGTCTTTTGAGCTCATCGTTGCAGTCGCAGGCTCAACAATCTCAGGCTCAACACTCACAGGCTCAGTCTCAGGCCCAATTGCAACAAAATCAGCAGCAGCATCATCATCAGCAACAGGGTCCAAACTACGCTGCTATTCTGGCTGCTGCGAATGCTCAGAACGAACTGAATCAACAACAGCAATTTCTTCAACAAGCCCTTCTGGGCCGTCCGATGAATAATTCTGGTTTACCAGCTCTGATGCCCTCGAGCGCCAACACTGTCTCTGACTCGACTTTGTTGGCGTTCCTTCAAGGGAATCATGCCAATGGCCTCAATGCGCTTTCATCATCACCATCGGCACCACCACCAACGGCACAAGATCATGCCAATTCCAATCCTTTTGGACAAGCATCACAACAGTCAGCAGCTGATACCAAGCTATTTTTGTCTTCCAATAAGGACAACAAGATTGACCTGGACAACTTCAAGGCTTCTTCTTTGTTGCCCAATCTCAAGTCATCCAACGCTGCTATTCTGAACGCTAATGGATTGAGCAGCAACGGCTCCAACAAGGATCTCTCCACGTTGGATACAGCTGCTCTTTTGAAGCTCTTAACATCTGTCAAGACAGGAGGACCTACTCCTGCTCCAGCTCCCAGCATGGCAGCTCCAGTTGCTCCTCCTGCCCCAGGCGATGCTGCCTTGTTGGCCATGATTCAACAAGTGCAGCAACACCAGCAGCAACATCAGCAACAACAACAACAAGTGCAGCAACTTCAGCCACAAGCCAAGATCAACATTACGGCCACTGCTTCTTCCACTCCTCGTACCTCGAGTCCAGTCAACTCGTTCCTGTCCCCCGTTTCTCCCAACAACAACACTTCCACCGCCAACCTTGCCATGGCAGTCGAGATTGCTTCATCTTCTTCCAACAGCAACAACAAGAACACGAACAACAGTCGATCCAATAAACCACTACCAACCAAATCGACTGCTTCTTGTTCCTTTATTGAAACACAAAATGAAGATGTTCTCTTTGGAAAGGGCCGTACCAAACACCAAGGCAATCGTCACCTGCAAAAGCTGATTGAGAATCTAATGGCGGTTTACGAGGCTGCTACTAAGCATCAAAAGAAGGAATTGGCCGACATGGTCGTCACCAAGATTTTGAATTCAGGTGGCCGCTTTCTCAAGCTGGATGACGATGCTCAAAGATGGGTGGAAGTCGAGCGGGAGGATGCCCATAAAAAGGTGGCTCATGCCTTTCGCAACCTTCGTCGTCGGACGAAGTAAATGACTTGTTGTCTTGTATATTAAGACAACAGTGGGGAATGTTTCAACTTTCGAGTTGCATTTTTGGCCTGGGGTATTTCTATTCGAACAACAAACTGTACACTATAATGCTTCTAGAACGAATCTTTGAATCTAACATGTATGCAATAGTCCTTCTACTAATCGTAATGCACCAATGCAAATCATAACATGAATGCTTCCATCCCCACCTTACTTGAAAGGCTAATTGTTTCTTCCTTCGGAACGCCAATGCAATTCTTCTAGTAGCACCTGGAACGGTTATTGCTTTTCTTCGGAGCGCTACGAGAATATCGGTACCTTACCCCACTTCCTTCTTGCCAAACCAGATCAAGTTGATGCATCCGGGTCCCCGGGATCGGTTTTGAAAAAATACTATCGCGACTAACTTGTACGAAACGCGGGCTCCTTGAAGAAGCATTTTGGTCAATAGCTTTTGGCTCCTCCGAGAAGCGAAGGGTGGTGCATCTTCCGAACTTTGCTACAGAACATACGCCTTCTTTGTCTCTGAAAGGATTTTTAACAGTAATGAAATCGAGCTCGTGAGCTCGAACATCGTTGGCCGTGAGGCGAAGGCTATGATAGAGGTGGCGGGTGGCGCAATAGATAAGGAAGGCTTGTGTGCTTCGCTATTCGCCTACTACCTCGAACAAACGATAATCATGATCCAACCGACTGAAAACTTTTGCGGTTCAAATGTCTCCAGTATAAAGATATATCTGAGACTATCTGTTGAATGATTGTACCCCATTCTAGACAGCCAGGTAGAAGTCTGCGCTGAGTCTAATAACTCACACCTTCATCTCTGTGTTGAGTCAAATTTTAAGCGTCGATGATTTTGGTCGACGTAGTCGATTGCGGAGCACGAAAAAATCAGCCTCTACTACTCGCCGCACGACCGGAGGAATGAGAGCGATGAGAATAAGGAATATAATAAGATCCACCACTTCCCAGATAATGTATCAGGCCACAGAAGATAAAACGAAAGGGTATCAGTAGGCAGGAATCCACACAAGACTCATATCCACTTATCCTATTACAACTAGTTTTCGTAACTGTATACACGTCATTGCAACAGCCACGGCAAGCATATTCCAAGAACAAAATCACCGGTCCAGCATAAATCATCATGGCGGACGAAGAGCCAATTCAAGAAGAAATCACCATGCAAGCTAAGGCCGAATGGGGAAAGTTTGCCAAGGTCGCTGCTTTACTCAATACCGTCAACGAGTACATGGCTATCTATAATCAGCTACAAGAAAGTGGCGAACTTGTTATCGTGGGATCCTTTGGTGACAAGCAACCCAGGCACGAGATTCCTTCGTCTTGTACAGAAGAGACTTGGAGCGAGTTGCCGTTGCAAGAAAAATATCAAGAGCTCATTCAAGTAGCTCAACAGACTGAGCTGCATATGGATACACTAGGGCAATACATTAGTGAACAATTTGACGTTGCCTTTTCCAAAGGACCGCTCAAAGGAGAAGCTCGAATCATGCAAAAATGCAACGAAGATTATGATGGAGACATTCTGCGGGTCATTGACATGGCTCGATGTAGTATGACCTTTGTTATGGAAAGTTTAGACCAAGCCAAGATGATAATAGAGTCCTTCAAGGAAGGCACTTTGTCAAATGACTGGGAGCTGATTCGTGTCAAGGACGGATTTGAAAAGCCAGACAACTTTTTGGTGGGAGGATACCGCGATATCAAGGTGAATGTCAAATGCATTGCCACTGGTCACTTGATCGAAATGCAGCTTCATCTACAACCATACTATCAACTGAAACACAACGGCGGACACCTGCATTATCGGTTTGCCCGGCAACAAAAGGTTCAAGGAATTACCAATGCAACTCAGATCTTGAATATGGGAATACTGCCAGAAATTGTTCTGGTGGGAATGGATGCGCTAGAGAATGCTAGTGATGACCGAGAAAGGGTGGAAATTGTAGAACGATTGGGGGACTTGAGGTTGCAACAGTGCAATCGATTGAACTACGACGATGGTTCTTTGGAAAAGGCAAATCTTTCTTCCGAGGCTGTCTACTACTACGACCAAGGACTCAGGACAGTCGAGCGAATTGAAGATTTCTTGGAAGATACGGCGGGTAAAGCTTCCTATTGTCAGCTGCTGATTGGATTGGCCCAAGGACTATCAGAATTCGGCTGGGCACTGTACTACGGAGAGCGGTACTATGATGACATGAAGGAGCGATCCAAGTTACCAGACATTTTATTTCCAGAGTTAGGAATGAACGATGCTATTGCCAAGTCCAAATGCTTACTAGGAGAGCGCCATCCGGTGACACTGGAAGCCAAGGCAGGAGTCGGAGGTGCCAACTACCTCGAGTTGATCAAAGAGCAACGCACTGTATTGGGTTTTGACCATCCGATGGTCCTTGAGACAGTGAATACAAGATTCAATGCACAAGAAGATGTCTGGGACAAGTTTTATGCATTCAATGACCTTGTGGACATCCTCGAGGTGAATCTTGATCGATTGGGAATCAATCACCCATCCATTCTTGTACTACTTCAAGCTTTTTGTGTTCAGTTTCAGGTAGAAACGAAATGTTTCTGGTCTGATGCACCCGGAAGCCGAGTTCCAGATCTCTTGAGAATGCTGAGCAAGCCAAAATGGGACAACGAGTCTTGTCATGCGAGTTTGGAAGTGCTTCGCTCGAGCTTGAGGCGGACGGTCGAGTCGGTGGACGCCGACAAGATTAAAGTCGGATCGCGGGTAGCTGTTTGGTCTTGGTACTATCAAGACTACTGGAGCGGCAAAGTTACTGAGGTGAAGGAGGGCGGCGGAGTCTTTTGTGTGGAATACGACCTACCCGGTAGCCCCGCTTGGGTCAGTCCGCGCAGGCGTCACACGTTGTTGCTTTCGCATGGAAGCGAGGATCCAACGCCGTTACCCCAGTCGACAGCGAATGAAATGCAAGTTGGTAAGAGAGCTCTTATCTGGTACGGCAATGGATACGATTCGTTCTTTGCTGCAGTTGTTCAAAGTCGAGATGAAACAAAGCTTGATGTTATGTATGACACTGGTGAACCCCAAGTCATTCCACTAGAATGCTTGGATGGAAGTCTCCCCTTTTGTGTTACGACTCGCAATGACGCAGGGAGCGTTGACTCGGTTGAGGTTGGTGACAATCTCTATGTCTACTGGAAGTTTCACAAGACATATTGGCTTGGAGAGGTGAAAGGTTTGGCTGATGGAGAGGAAGACAAGGAGACCCCAACCAAGTATCGGATGCAGTACTATTCTGGGGATCTCCAAATTTGCGATTTAAGCGAAATGCCCTTCTTTCCTGAAGCTCATCCAACCTTCTCACATTGATCACGATGCAACAACATTATGTCAACATATGTTAAAATCGATAGATGGTGGTGATTCTAATCGTTGCATTCTCATTTATAGAATTATACAAGGTAGAAGTGATAATACTACACACTATAGTTTCATCGTTGCAATGACCTTAGGTGGAATAGCTTCAAGCCCCGTCCCCTCGCATGTTCACCAGCAGTACCAATACGTATTAGTATCGTGCAGTAGAGTTGGTATTACACGTACACTACGTAAACCGCGGTACCAAGAGTGTACACGTATATACCGCCACGAACGCACGCACGCGGGCGCGGCGAGCATTGGTCTGACTGATTGATTGATTCGATTGATTCGATTGATTGATTGATTGATTGATTCATTCATTCCCTCGAGCGCGAGCCAATAGCAACATCGCAGCATTACAGGCAATGACAAGATAAGAAATTCACTATTTCTATCACTGTTGTTTGGCTGCTTCCATGCCTTTATGACTATATAAACTTACATATAACAGCTTCAATCATCACCTTGTATAGCACTTTGGTTGAAAGAAAGAAAGAAAGCTGCGACTATAGAGTCAGAAGATATTGTCAGAAAACAACAATCAGGAAACCATCAGGAAAACATTCTAGCATCAGCTGACGCTCAGATTGATTCCGATTTCTACTCTTTGCTTTAGTTTTTTTAATTAAAAAGTGAATAGCCCAAATTCCAAAGGCAATTTCTGAAACCATGGTGACTACACAGCCGCCCAGCCCAAGTCGTTTTCACAGACGAAATGATACAACATCCTCTACACATTCTTCATCCTCATCGTCGCTACCTCCAATGGTTCCGTCAAAGAATAAGCGATCTTACGAGCGACGTTCTAGGCTAAGAGTATGGCTCAAACATTCCATGACACCAACGTCACCTTCGGCGTTTTCAGAGAATCTCGATGATCTGAACAATAACAATAACAACAATAATAATTCAGGGCATGGTTCGATTCTGACTGTCTCAAATATCGATCAAGCTCTTCAAACGAATTACAAGTTGACCGATTTGGAAATTTCTTATGATGAGTCAGATGTTGCTGACAATGGGGACAGTAATGATGCTGAAGACGGTCTGCAAATAACTGAGAAAGAAGAAAAGGAAGATTGGGCATTTGGAACAGCAGGTCATCCCGATAATTACGAAATGGAGTTGGAACGAACGCGACAATTGAAAGCGCAACTGGCTCAATCGCCCTTGGATTTTCTACAAGATGCCGAAGATCTAGAAGAAGAATGGAAGTGGAAATTTGGGAAAACTGGAAAGCAAGAATTTCAATTTGCGAGTTTTGAAGCTTCGTTCGAGGCCAATTTTGAGGAAAAAGATTTGGAGGATGGAATGGCAACTAGTGCCGATACAAAAGAGGATGCTTTTGCTGCAGACTTCTCAGCACCAACAGAAACTTCTCCTGATGCTGATGCTATGGAAAGTAAAGCCGGCTCGAGCGGCGATGGCTTTGGTGATTTTCAGCAATCCAGGCCGAGTGAACCTGACATGAACGAGGCTGAAGCAAAGGACAAACACGAAAGTGATGTGGAAGCTGCGATGGATTTTAACGAAACGAGAAGTCAAAATCATCCAAAGGAAGACGATCTCGACGACGAAAACAGTGATTTTGGTGACTTTCAGGAGGCACCACCTTCACCTGACAAAATAGCAAAACCCAGCGCAAAACAAGCTCAAAAGGATGCCACTACCATTCTTGAAAGTGATGGAAAGGAAGATTTCGGTGATGCTGACGACAACGCTGATGCGAACTGTACAAAGGATGACGATAATGACTGCACTGGTGGTCAAGTACAAGAACACGAGGCTTCAGCAAAAGAAGCGCTGGTTGACGAACGTAGTGTTTCGAAGGAGGACATGCTGGGCAAGGAACAAGATACTCCACACTTCCAAGGCAGTTTGAAATCGTCCACATCGTCAGCCAAGCCACCTTTTGATACACCCAAGAGTGCGGATGGAGTTAGTACACTTCTGAATGACTTTAATCTTGACTTTCAAGATTTTCCGACGCCAAATACACTTTTGGCAAATGCTGCAGCAGCCGCTGTTTTGGATGCTGCAACGAAAGCAGAGACTGCTTCTATTGAAAAGGCAATGCAAGAAAATAATCCGCAGGATCCGTCAAACAGCTCTGTGGGAAAGCTGAGAATGCCAACCACACCGTCCTCCCGTGATTCAAGAAATAGAAAGGGAAGCGTGTTGAGGCCTAGAAACTATCAAACATCATCATCATCATCATCTCCGTCGCTGGAAAATTCCAATGGGGAAGGAAATGCATCTTCGCCACAAAAGATAAGCGCCATTTCAGCGGAACCCATCACTCCAATCATTCATAATCAATCCGCCAAGAAAACGCCACCAGGTGAACCAATGGTGGGCCTCGAACTTCCTCGGTCTGTGGGCGACAACGATAAACTGGATCTTCCATCCATGAAGCCAGCCATTGGGAGTGTATCGTCGGCAATTGTATCCGAAGTGTCTAGAGTAGATAAGGAGCAATCAAATGACGACGACGGATCATCCTCCATACCATCCGTTGTGCGAGTGGTGGCAGCAGTGCAGCCAAGGCAACAGTGGTTGACAATTGATCCTCCTCCACCACCTCCTGCCTCCCCTCTCTTTCCCACTGAAGAGCAAGAAGCCTACTACAGCTCGCCGAGTGCCATGAAAACTCCAGTTGGGAGATTCTTGCGGAGGCTGTCCTCATCTCAAATGGAAATGGGCAGTGCACCAATTGCGGAAGATGGGTCAGAGGACGGCAGTGATGATGATGGTAGCCTTGCATCACTTCAAAAGTATTACTACGACGAACAAGATAGCCAGCATCAAGACAAGCATATCTTGCAGGTACTGAAAAAGTTGGAATGGGAATGGATGCCTTACTGGCAATGGGATTCGCTTCTTTATCCAGTCAATCCAAATGCTGGAAAGCGCTTATTGACAAACGAACGGAAAACAATTGCTGAAAGATCAGATGATGCCGAAAGTGACGAAGAGCTCGAAGATTGGATGGTTGAATCAAAAATAAAGAAGGAGCAAAAGGTATTGACATCAGCATCTCGGAAGCAAAGTAGCATGCCTTCAGAAGACAGTATCCCTCTGTTTCAGAATGAGCTGGTGCAGCAATTGAGTGATCTTGATTCTGCCAATGTTCAAATATGCAAGCGCCAATACCGACGAATTCAGCCGCATGCCGATCGGATCGAGGAAGCAAACAGCCTAGCGTTGGAGATGAGTAAGAATCTACAAATTTGCAACATGTACATGCAACGAAGTACAAATAGTGTATGCTTGGCAAGAAATGGACAACAGGAAGGAGAGGGAGTGAATGGAGCCATGGACATTGTGGATTCGTGGAATTCTCATTCGGCCTACATGCAGCTGGAAGATTTGCTGGAGCAGATTGAAAAAGTAACTGACTTGGAAAAGGGGCTGCTTGAAGCAATTGAAACGTTCGACCCTCGAGAAGAAGAGCTATGCCAATCAATTTTGAAGACTCTGCTTGATTTGAACAGAGTTTTGAACGAAGACCCACTTTTGAATCTTGACTGCTTAAATTCCATGCGACAGAGATGTTCCGAAGAATTGCTGAAAAAATTTCGAGTTCGGATGCATTCATGCTTGGAATCGATTGCTGTACGATGTTGCAATGCGGATAGTGAAACAGATTCCCACCTTCAGCAGGAGTATCATCAGCTGGCGTATTCAATTCTTCGGGTTTCTGAAACTATCAATGGTACCAAGAATGAAAAAAGGACGGCTCTGGAAATCTGCACCAGTCTCCAGACTGCTTGGCTCCTACAGACCCAACGCTCATTCGGGTTGGCTCTTCTTGATCCAACCGACGATTCTGGAGACTCTGAATATGATAAGGAGCTTTCAGCGTTGAGTAGTTTGTATGACATCAATGTTGGAACTGGACTTTGGTTCATGGATCCATCAAAACTTTCGATTTGGACGAAGAATCTTATCACCATTCGTCTAGATTTTGAAATCCAAATACACCCCCTTCCAGCAGTGGTGCATAAGCTTTGTAGCATTCTCTTCCATGCGCTTCATGGTCACTACGCACTATGGAAATGGCACAAAAAGGATGAAAGTCCCCTTTATCGTGAATTGTATCAGGAGCTGGGGAAGCGGCGGCCGTCCATTTGGAACGCTTGCATCCAAGTATTGGAAGATTGCTTTGAAGAGTATCTGAAATACGTGGGGAAGAAGCGACTTTTCCCTGACGAAGGTGATGAGGATTGGTTGGAGGATTTGGAAGGACTCGAGGATGTCGCTAGTTTGATCCAGCAATTCCTCAGCTTACAGTCTGAATTCTTGAAGGGTCTTAATGCATCGAAGAGTATCAATGATGGAAGCCTCGTTGAAAAGAGGCTCCAAACTGTTCTGCAAACTCATGTTCGGGCATTCCATATCCAATCAATGAATAAAATGGGCTTGGCGCTGTACCATGAAGAGTGGTCACTTGAGACACTCAAAGGAGACTCCAGTGATGCTGTATCGGTAGGATCAGTTTTGAGTTTCTAATCAACTTGAGTTGTGCATCCTCACACTTCTTTTTCATTGACTGACGCAGGCCATTTCTAAATGTTTGGAGGACGACAGGGGGAATCGGATAACCCAAACTAGTCGGAGTAAAAAGAACCACTTCAAGGGACACACTGGCTTTCATTTTGCTCGGTATGCTGAATGTGGGAACCCCTTTAGTGTCGAGCAAAGCAGAGAATCGATGGCTTTTGATTCTATGGAATCGTCAGCTGTCAGCCCATCAAATGATTCCAAGGCGGAGGAAGTGTTGAAACTTTTGAATGGAATGGGTTTTGTCCAGTCCACGCCTCGGTGTGTCAGTGATCATGCCCTGCGATGGATTGCTCGATCGTTATTGATTGTGAAGAAATTGCCGACAGCTGCTCTTGATGTAGCTGAAATTCTTGAGAATATTACGAATCTATACCTGACAACTGCATTCCGACTGTGCGCTGGCAGTGCAGATCATGAGAAGTTCGTTCTTGGCATTTCATCTGTTCCAATTCCAGACTATGTACTGGAACCAGCGACACCAAAAGCCAGCTCGCAAAACAGATTTGGGTTTGGCAAGGGGAGCTCAAATTTGCCAAGCACGCAAGAACCAATACAAAGCATGACCTCAACACGAGATGCCGAGTTATGCGCACCCTTGCCTTGTGAACTGGATGATCTTTCGAGTGTTCAAAAGTTGATTCTCAATGCCCAAGACAAATTGCAGGGAGTCGTAAAGCTGGATCTAGTCGATAGTTGGATTCGTGATCCGATCCGAGAACCGGGAGAAGAGAGAATGTCACTTGTATGTCGCCGTGCTCGTGTTCTTGAAAAGCGACAGTCAATTGCTTGGAGCTGTGTCTTTGTTGTCGCTGCAGCCCATCTTGCGAGAAACGAAATACACCGGCATTCCAAGTCAGAAACGGTTCTTGATGCCTTGGATGATTATGTGAATTCAGCATTGCATGCTGCTCCCATTTTGCTGGATATTGCCAGTCGAACATCTTGTATTCGCGCAGTAGGTGGAAAGGCAATTGTCCAAGAGGTAAGCAGTCTGAATCAATCATGTTTGTCGTTTTTCGAAACTGTCGCTGTCCCCCATGATTGCTAATGATCGCCCAAATTCTATGGTCTTGTTCCACTTTGATCTTTTGCCACAGATCCTGAATCTCCATGCCATTTGGGAAGAACCAAAATTGCATGAGAGCTGCAACAAATATGTGGATTCTGTTTGCGATATTTGCTCCTTGCTGTGGTGGTCCATCTCCAATTCCAAATTTCTGCCCAAGTTTGTTTTGGAAAGGACGTGGCATGATATTATGAGCGTTTGTTATACTTCCATGATTGATGGTTTTGCTAGGGTTCCATATTGCTCTACAGAAGGCCGGGCTTTGATGAGCATGGATGTGACGACACTCACCATGGGTCTGCTACCAGACGCTGTGTTTGAACGCTTGGAAATACACGGAAATGCCATCGCCCCACCAAATTTTACTGTGAAGCGTGGAATGCGCTATGTGGATACCTTCATCAAAGTGTTTTACTTTCCTCCGCTGGATGCTTACAATTGGATTGAAGAGAACTACATGAACTATCAGCGACATCATGCGATTGCCTTGATCGCAGGTGCAACCTTTGCTTCAGGTGACCGGCATGCTACCGCTGCAAAACGAGTAATTGTGAAAGTGAAAGCATTGTACAACACCTCCAAACCAAAAGTCGAGGCTGTATAAAAATTGTGCTATCGTTGGCATGGCTCTTATTTGAATTCTATGAAACGTGTATTAATATCTCATTTGTAGCCAAGAAATTGAATCCCAACCGTCCGATCTCGTGGCCCATCCAAATCCACCAGTAGAATGCTCTGCCATTGTCCAATTACCATTTTCCCATTCACGACTGGTATACTTTCCGAGCTCCCCAAAAACATACTCAGCAAATGCGAATGCGCATTGATTGGCTCTTGATCCCGCCACGCTTCAAGTCGTTCTGGATCGTCAATATCCCAGCCATTCTCTCGGCACCGTTGTGCCTCTTCCTCGGAATCGGGGCGCTGATCAATATCGTTGTGAAAATATCTAATGCCACTTTGCTTGGCAGCTGACGATGACCGCTCATCGGGTGGTGCAATCTCCAAAAAGAACTTTTCCATATCTTCTGCCAGCCGTTTTTCTCGTTCGTTGATGGTAATGGCAGTGGTGGTGTGCTGACTGACCACATTTATCACACCTTGTTGCATATTGCTCTCTTTGAGCATCGCTCGAATGGTAGGCGTCAAATCTTCCACGCTAATCTTTTGACGAGGAGGACCGCTTTGGGATGTTGGTATCGTCACTTGTTGATAGTCACATATGGGATCGTTCAAGGCAGCCTGAAACACCACAGTTGTTGAACTACACCAGACTCCTGTCCTAAGACTCATCTGACGCCCTTGGTTTGTTGAAAAGGCATTCGTCTCTAGTGCAATAAAGACGACAATCGCAAAGACAGCAAACATATGGATATTGGTTGCTATAGGTACCGGTACAAGTATTCAGATCAGAGGCTCACAATGATGATGATAATGATGCAGTGTTCATAAATATTCACTACCTATGACGTCACTTGTCAATTCAAAATAAAACAAATAGGGGACCCCTTTTAATTTCCAACCTTTGATTCATGCATTCGCAAATTGGACGATCAGTTTCTCCCAATTTTACCCGGACAATGCAAAGCTTCATGCACTCTTTGGATTTCGACGCGGTTGATTCTATCCTTGGTTGATTCGGTTTTTGGGAACATAAAAACTTCTTGCCGATAATAAACTAACTTTTTGAGCGCTTCTGGTCTAAGAAATCCGATATATAGAAAAGCAGATGCACTATGTACTAGTCTGGAAAAATCTGATGTAGTCGCGTGGAAGCTCGTCCGCTCGGAAAACGAACCAAGACGCCAATTTAAGCCCACTCGATTGATTCATTCATTCAGCGCGACGGCGGTGCAGTCTTGAGAGATCCCATCGTGCGAAACGGTTGACTGTGCAGCAAAGGTATAGAATCCATACGGTACACCCACCTATTGTGTATCCAAAGCCCATCCTCAGTTACGTACAATTATAGAGCGATGGCGGCGATTCAAAAGAAGAACGAAGCAGTCGCAAGTCTCGCCACCACAACAAGAACAATCGTATCTTTAGATGATGAAAAGGAAAATCAGAGGTCTCCTGCTGGCACTGAATGTGTAGACCAATTGGAAGAGTTTAACGAAGATGATGGATCACCTAGCAATGGATATGCTGAGGATGATGATGGATATGGAGAAGAAGGAGAACTAGAACTATCGGGTGGAACGAGATCCTCCAATTTGCCATTGGGACAGCACAAGGTTATGAAGAAGAGGAGAAGCCTTGGAACATTGGTTGTAGATTCCAGTGAGTTCAAAACTACGGCGAATCGTCCTCATCGTCGAAATTCTGGCAGCAGCCGTAGTCGTTCTAGCAGAGGCCGATCCTCTGAAAGTCACGATAATGATCATGATCATGATGGTGACTCTGACGATGATACGCAGCAAACATCATCATCCCGGAGTCTTAGCCGAAGTGCTCGGAAACGAAGCAGCATTTATGTGATGACAGCAATGCGAAATGATTCCCCGGGTCGAAAAACGTCTAGGACATCCACGGCAGATCGCCCACCAGCGCATCCTGGCAGGACGACGAGACGAAGATCCAGCATGGAGTCCAAACCTGTTAGCAAGTTGGAAGACTTTCTTCGAAAAGATGATTTCGAAAAGAACATGGCACCTGGCAACGTAAACGATCACCAAATATCCATGCCGTTACGTCAAGTCAGTAGACGTCAACTGACTTGTTTGTCGGACCATTCCAAGGACATACTTGCGGAACAGGAGCACATGGAATCGGTGCAGGAGGTATATGCCTCTGCTGAGGAGGATCTTTCAAGCTCTCCTGCAAGCAGCAGCGATATGACTGTGAAGGTCAAGCATGGGTCACCTCCGTCCACCAGAGTTAGAAAGAAATGCAAGGCATCGCCGAACAATGCAGGTTTTCGAAAAGTTGTTCCATCGAGCCCAAGTTGGAAGCACAAGAACAAGACAACTGGAAAACGTGATGAAGCTAAAAACACAAAACGGAAATCTGACTCCAAAGAGAGAGTCCTCGAACAACTCGAAGAAGCGATTGATATTTCAAAGTCTGAAGAATTTTCCGAGAAGGAGACACAGACTCCATCTGAAGAAAAAGAAGATCACACCAACTCATCATCACAAGGATCTTCAATGTTGGGCGACACAGTCGAGCGTTTTCTGAAGCTTAATGATGATGATGACGGTGGCGATGATGGCGACGATTCCTTGATGAAGAGTGCCGAGTTTTTCGATGATTCGGAACCATTGTCTGTCACTATGCGCAGCATGACTGACTATTCGGATGATTTGACAGACTCAGGCGATACTAAGAGCCCAGTGATCACTCGCTCCAAGAAAATAAGTGTCAAGAAAGAGTCTTCCAAGACAACAACGACGATCAAATCACTCGGACGACTGTTTGGTCGAGGTCTTTTCAAGAGAACGAAACGAGGGAAGGGTGCTGGAAGTGAGGAGGAGGTCACCCCTGTTGCAATTTCATGATTCTTCTTTGCAACACCTAAATTTTTATAGTTACATGTTTAAAAAAGTACCGGTACATGGTTAAATGAATGAATGAATCAATTGCCCGAGAGCTACCTACCTACACGTGTATCTGTACCGGTATAGCAGATACTGTAGCATCATTCAGTGCATCATTCTTTTTCCGTCTCTTTTATTGCAGTAGCTACTACGCGCGGGTTCCGCACAGGAGCTGATCAGGAACGTAAATACCGTTCGGGGCGGGGGGTCCTGGACCCTCAGCAACTCGTCTGTCTGTCGTCCAATTTAATCGGGGGGAAGCACTTTTCTTCCCCCATTATGTTTTGCAGTCAAATTTAGGGGCCCCAAGTTCTACTTTTGGGTCGAATCGAAACACGACAAACCAGTTCGAAACACGACAACAGATTCCGAAACGCGACAACAGAATTTGAAA